ACACACACACACACACACACACACACACACACACACACACACACACAATAGGTGAAGAGTGAGAAAGACAGAAAACAAACACATAAATCAAATTAGAAACATGAAAGGGATCAAAGCTGCTCCAGTAACGTTCAACTTTCTTCTCTTCATAAGTAAACAAACAAACAAACAAACAAATAAGTGAGGATGTTTGTAGTTTGTAAACATTGTTGCTTTTGATGTTTCACACAAATTTATTTAAAAATGCACAAACGCTTTTGGTCCATTTGCAGCTCATTGACAAGAAGTTTTGTTTCTCTTGAACAGTGATCCAGTGATCCTGTGATCCAGTGATCCTGTGATCAGTGATCCTGTGATCCAGTGATCCTGTGATCAGTGATCCTGTGATCCAGTGACAGCAGTTTCCAGTGTGATGGAGAAAACAAAACAGCTGGGAAGAGACGCCATGATTTATTTATTAACAAAATCTGCTAAACTAGTGCAGACAGATGAGACGATTGATCTTTGCCCTAAACTGTTTCAAACTAAATAAGTTTATCTCAAGAGACTTGAATAAACCACTGGCAGACATGGCACTGGGCAGATGGTTTTAATGGGAACCACTGCAGTATGAAATTCAATCCAGTTTTACAAACACTGGATGGAGATCTGTCCTCGGGACCTCCTGGACTCAGGGTGGCCATGTTTAGCAACACTAGTGACGGGTCCAGCAACACTGATGCGTCGAGCTCAGAGTAAACCCCGTGTCGTGCACGTATCGCCATTAGGACATCATGTGACCGATACAGGAGCTGCTTCGAAACGACACACGCACCAAACTGTGTTTATAATCTGTCAACGGGAAGCATCTGCCTAAACAATCTTTGACCTTTTGCTGGGCGTCTTTAAATTCATCAAGAATTACGGAGCAGCCTCACACCAAAAGAAAGGTTTCTGTCGTGTGGGACCATTTTGATCTCATATCAGAAAATAAGCTCTTAGTTTTAATTTCCTTGTTGTTTCATCCTGTTCGTAGTTTCCACTTGATCCATCTGAATTCAAATTCATTTCAGTCACTCTTTCTTTACTATTCATATTATTTTCTGCAGGTTACATGTCACATTTGTTGGACACAGCTTTCGTATTTAAATAAATCCACCTCCTCAGTGCGGAGGCTCCCTGAGCCACATGCGGCTCACCATGATGGTGGCTCTCATCTCGTGACTGGTTACAACAACACACCAGCACAGCCAGTACATTTTTAAAACGT